GATTTGGGAGATTTAATCTTAGTAAATATTTCCAACACAAAAACTAAAAAACATCACTCATTTACTATAATTGGAGATTTTTATTTAAATTTATACAGAAAATATGCTACTCTTCGGCCAAAAGACATAACTTTTGGTAGATTTTTTATTAAATATCAAAATGATCATGTCATCGTGTTGTGATGGGCATACATAAAATTTCAAACGTTGCAAAAAATGTTGCGTCGTTTTTAAAGTTGTCAAATTCACATAAATATACGGGCCATAGCCTTAGAAGAACCTCGTCAACTATCTTAGTTGATAATGGTGGAGATATAACAACCCTAAAGCAACATGATGGATGGAAATCTACCAGCGTTGCTGAAGGATACATTGAAGAATCTGTAAACAAAAAAAAAACAGATAACAGATAACGATGAAATTACTAAACCCATTAGAGTATAATGAGCCCAGTTCTTCAAGTCAAACTGAAAACATTTTTACTGAAGAATTTTCTGCCAACAATGAAAGAATTTTGAACAATCAAACTGACAATCTTATTACAAGTAATGTGTATGAATCTAGAAATAAATACGGCCAGCAGTGCTTTAAGCGTAAGCAACTGTACTATACAGAATTGCACATTTAATATTCATGTTAATAAATAATAGTTTTTGGACAGACCTATAAGTAATATAGATTTTGATGTTTAAGAACTAAAAATGTTATACTTAATTTTAATTCCAATTAAAGAAAAAATGTTACCTATGTTTAATTTATAAATGAAGTGGTTAGTACTATGTTATGCTTAATTAGTAAATAAAATGGTTAGTATTACCAATATTTAATTTTTATGCCAAAATTGAACATATTTGATGTCATTTTTCGAAATGAAAGTCGCAATTTTTTTTATTTTGACGCTTGAAGAAAAAATAGTATATGTCACTTGGAGTAGAAGGCACATTATATGTTTCGCCCAGTTGCTCAGCCTCGGCTTGCGCCTCGGTTGAGCAAACTTCTGGGCTCAACATATAATGTTCGCCTTCTCCTCCTAGTAACATAATATATTATTTCTTTTTTTTAATAAGAAGAAAATACAGATTGCTTAAATATTTAATTCAGTGCTACTGCACAAAATTTTCAAAAAATTTATCAATGCTATAAAAGCCTCCATTTGTTAATATGTTTTTACAACTATTTTTAAAACATGAAAAGTTAGAAATTTTACGAATTTCCTCTGGTAACTTATTGTACAAAATTATTCAATTATAAAATGGCGAGTGTTTGTAAGTAGTAGTATGTTTTGTCAGGGGGGTATCCATAGGAGATCACAATGTCTTGTATTATGATTGTGTGTGGCCTAATTGTTGTTAAATAATTGTTTATTTTGCCTGACAAAGGATTTTTTTAAAATTTTTTCTTTTACAAAAGTTATTCAACATTAAAGTTTGAGTTAGTCTATTACACGCGCAAACACTTCCGGCCCGGCAAGTCGATGTGATGACGTCACAGGTCCAGTAGTTCTAGTGCAAAAAGCAGGCATGGTAATGTTGTTAAATGTAAACAAGTAGTGTTATTTGTGATTTGTGTTGTGAAATTTTAAGTGAGGTAATTACAATGATTAAATCTTCTAAATTATCATCATATTATTGATGCATCATACCAGTATGTGAATATACTTCAATAGAATTTCAAAAAAAAAAAACTTTTTGTTCAAGTTCCAAGAAACGGAAAACGTAGAAAAGTTTAGATAAAGATGCCTAAATGGGATCCAAATAAATTTTTGAAAACAAGTTGCGTTTTTGCATGCATGGATCTTTTTAATGTAATTAAAAAAATAATATCAAAAATAAAAATGCAAAAGCAATAAAAAATAATGTGTAAAATATGGTACACGGATCATGGTACAACAGGGATCCTGCATTTCGAACGATTTTTTCTCATTTTTTTCATGTTATTTTCCATCGTGGATTTTGCATGAGCTTACTCAGTAGATCTTTTCAGTACAATATTGTTTGCATAAACCAGAGACTATAATTTTAGGACACTAGGTACCGTACCGTTCACCACCCGAGGATTTCGTGATTGGTGACGTCTCACCAATAGGACAGCGTTTTCAGACACGCCTCTGGCATCTGATATTCAACTAGCAATTTAAGCATTTTCCAAGTAGAAATTATTAAAACAAATTTGAAAACTGCTGATTTTTAATAAGACTATATTAGAATAAGTGAATTAATTTAAAAATTCCGGCAAGTTCAAAGGGCCTATTAGTATTCCCACTTCGAATTCACTCACGCTCAGAGCCAGTATACACACAACTGTGCGAGGTGGATTTTAAATATCCGACACTTCTTTATGATACTAGGCTTTTTTAGCGCGCCTTATCCACGGAGTCTTCTAATGAACTTACTCCATGAGTAGTAGAATAACAGTCTATTTATCTCAACGATTTTTAAAATATTCTAGGAAAATTACTATAACAATACAATAAATCTTAAGATTAAAAGGTAAAACTTTTACAGCAAACGGAGAGAAATATCTTCAGTTATATACATTGTAAAATGTAACCGTCCTTATCTTTTTTTCATTATTTATTTTAAGAAGGCACGGAAATATAAAAGATACAATGCCCTCAATCTCAAAAAAGCTTCTTATAAAATTTTTCGTCTCAACTACCATCAAAATGAAAATAAGTAAGACGTACTTTTAAAATTAGACGGTTATTTTATGTGGAGATTTGTTTTATATTTGTTTTACCAATGCAATTTTGTTTAACAGACAAGAATGTTTTTGGAGACAACAATGAAGGGTCGCGACAGGGTAAATAGCATATTTAAAGATTAAAATGTTACTTTAGTAAATGGATGCTAGTCGTACTGAGATAGTTTAAATTTTTTTCTATAATGCCATAGCTTTATGCATAATATCATGTAACGATTATTGTAATGTTGAACTATTCTCTTGCATACACTGCGGTCTCTCCCTCTGTTAACTTGTGATATGATTAATTATTACTTAATACTTAAAAACTATCAATAAAACTATAAATAGATGTGTAAAGATATAAAAAAATACTAAGAATGTTTTCATTGCTATACCTTGCTTTTGACATTCACGTTTTTTATTAAGTTGCAATTACTGCGGAATGTACTATAAATATTATAACTATATTAGAAGTGTCTGAAATAAATTTAAACTTCATTGGTGAGGAGCTGCCTGCAGTTGACATCCTAGGATTTTTTAGCCTAACTTCTATACAAAAAAAGGGCAGATAGAAAAAATGTTACACATAATTTCTATAAAAAATATCCTTATTATATTTTTGATAGATCTAATGGATTTCGAGTTGAAAGGTTGCTGCAATAGGAAATGCATCAGCTCAGAACTAAAATTTATAATATGCCAGATTTTCTGGAAAACGGCTTTTCCTACGCTTACAATGCATAGAACTAAATTTATAGAGCAGTTTTTTTCTATAAAATGGTTATAGCCATTCTTTTATTTTTATTTTAATTTTTCTTTAATGAATTATTTTTTTAATTGAATAATTTCAGTTTCAGAAAATTAACCATGTTTTAAAACTTTAGTGACATATTTACAAAGTAACCAAAATATAAAAATTAAAGAGTTTCACCCCTAAGAGGCGAGCAGATACAAGCACTACTCTTGCTCAAAAGGGATATTTTTAATATTTTTCGAATTTTTAAGTGGAAAGTGTCCTATATTTCTCCTATCCTTTGCAAAAATAGTTTCGAAAAAAAATGTCCTGTAAAAATTTATTTTTATCATAAATTTTAGTTGCGAGATGAAACACCTCCTACTTTAGCAGCCTATTCAAGATCTATTAATAATCTGTCAAAAATATGATAATGAATGAAATAAAATTTCATAGGCAATTTTTTCTTTAGATTTTTTTTTCATATGACACCGTTTTACTAAAAAAATAAAAATAAAAACCGTTTTAGAGGTGGAAGCCGTTCTGTTTTCATTTTTACCTACATTCTGAACATGCCACCAAAATTTAAAAACCTTAATTTTTTTAACGTAGGTAGGTTAATGATAAGGCAAACAGAAAAATTCTCATAAAATTCCTTTTTATTAGTGTGACCGGTTTCGTGAACAAGTAAATTACTTCACATCTTCAGACAGAGGACTACAATAATTGAAGAAAATGAGTATACATACATAAATATAAATGTTAATAAGTTAATAAAACTTAAAAAACAAGAATACAGAAGACAATTATTTCCATTTTTTTATACTAGTAAAAACTTATTGGTAAAAAACTGTTTGATAAAATTTGTGTACAAGAACGATTGAAATTATTTAAAATAATAAGGGTTACGTTAGTTTAAAATTATAATATAGAATTATGTAAAATTTAATTAATTGAAATGTGTAAAAAAGAGATCACTTTTATATAATACTTAAATTTTTATAAATAAAAACCAGGGTAGTCAAAATTAAAATTAAAATAGTTTTGCAACATAGTCAAAATTGTAAGTAAATGTAAGATATAAATTTTTTTGTTTGTTTGTATCTAATTAACTTTCCAATAAAATTCTTAAAATTAACGTGCTTTTTCTTTTAAACACATACATACACTGCAACAGTTTAAAATCTAATAGGGAATAAATATTTTTTAATAATAAAAATTGATTAAAAATAGTGCCCTCTATCGGCCTATCTAAGAACTAACGTTAAATAAAAATTAAAAATTAAGGTTGAAAACTATGTGTGAACCAGGTTAATTTTTTTCTTCTATTCCTTATTTTTCAGCCTATTTTCCATATACTATTAGGCATTAGGAAATATATTAAACACGAGCTTTTAAAAAAATTCACATTTTTCACACTAAAATCTTCTAAAAATGGTTTGATCCTAATCTGGCACCTCTTTAAAATACTTTTCAGTACAAAAATTCATAGCGTAACTTGTTTTAAAAGTAAATTACTGGTTTCTAATTTGTGTTTAATTGTAAATTAATTCGCAAAGAACAGTTTAATGAAAAAAAAAGTGGGCTCGTGTAGGATTCGAACCTACGACCTCCACGATAGCAGTACTAAGTGTGGACACTCTAACCAACTGAGCCAACGAGCCGGTTGAAACACTGGTTTAAAATGAGGATACACACTTCAAGGTTTTAATTTGTACAACACAATGAATTCATATTCATCATTTCTTTCAGTGTCATTCGAATCTGGCTACTTTTTGTTTTTTTTTGCCCTAAAAACGTTTAAATAGTATCAAGAATTTATCTGCAAGAAGGCAACTCATATGTATTAATTTATAAAAAAAATAAATATAGTTTAAAAAAACTAAAAAACACGCTTTTAAAGCACATCAAACTAAAAAGTGAAAAATAATTATTAATATAAACTGAAAACAATAATGAACGAAGAATACTAGTATTATTGTGAAAAAAGCGTGGGTTGCTCGATATACGAAAAATATGGCACAAAGCGCCCCACGCTTTTTTCACAATAATACTATATTTATTTTTCACTTTTTAGTTTGATGTGCTATGAAAGCGTGTTTTGTAGTTTTTTTAAACTATATTTATATTGCTTATTGATGCTGATATTATAACATATTACGATCCAACGGATATTTCTGAAAAATTTTTTTTTTTATTTCAGCCATGGGATTTGGACTCACGCCCGAGGAGTCCGTCGTTTCGCGTCGACTAAGACTTGCCCGCTCTGCCAACGACCGAACTGAGAATCACGGAATATACTTACAATATTAAGCCTCTTGCTCTCACGCAGAGGATACGTGAGGAAAGGACTGGCGATCCTGATCAGGATAATGATATAAACTTATCAAATTATTGTATTGTTACCGGTTCTTCGTAAGTGTACAAAGTTTCAATTAAATCTGTCCGTTTAAAGTGGGTCAAAATCGAGTCCAAAGAGTCGGTTACAAACAAACAAACAAATAAACAAACATACAAGTTAAGCTAATAAAAGCGTGTTAAAAATAAAACTAACTGGTTGAACTGAGATGTTTAAGTTCAATACAAAAAAATTTCGCATTTTTTCCTGAAATAGCGGGCAAAACTCAAACACAGCTGACTATTGACAGAGATTTTTAGTTTGACTTATTTTTTTTAATATATTTAAAATTCTTCAATGATTCGATCTAGGAAAAATAGCAGGTACCCAACATCAGTTATTGTATTAGGGTTAGGAATCGTATTCAGATAATTAAAATATTCGATTGTTCGAATATTTTAAATTCGATTGGTTCACTGTAAATTTATTCGAATATTTCAATATCGAATTTGAAATATTCGAATATTCGAATACTTCACAACAGATTTAATCGAACATTTGAATATTCGAATATTTTGATATTCGAATATTCAAGTATTTAAAAATTTCCATATGATAGTTTTAAGTGAATTTGCCTTACCTATTTGTTTTATTTCTGATCCACACGCTGCGTATCTGCACTGCAAGCATAGAGACAGGAGAGAGGAAGCGCAAATTCTGCAGGTCAATGCTTGTTCAACTCAATTCAGGTAATGTAAAAAAATATGTTTCCTTAGTGGCAATTCATAATTTTTTGTTTTGCCCTACACGTTTAACAAAAGTGATTTATGTATTTTTTTTATTCATGTACATTTTTCATTGCTATATATATAATCTTGATTTTTGTTATTGTGTAACGCTTTAGGTGTATCTATGTATCTACATTTATTATAAGTAATAAAAATATTAGGCTTGTTGAGTGATTTTAATTTTAATAAATTTTTTGAGCAATAAAACTCAACATTATTTTACTTGAGTGGACAATCGAATTAACTCTCGAATAGTCGAATATTCGAATAGTTCAATACATAATCGATTCTTCAAATAGCTAAATAGGTAGTTAAATATTCGAATATTCAGATATTCGAATGTTTGAATGGCCAAATAGTCGAAAAAGTTGATATAATTGAATACTGAAATATTTGAATTAAAGTTTGAACGAGTATTGGAATACTAAAATTTCAAAAATTCCTAGCCCTAATTTGTATCTCACGAACGCGAGCCGAACGGTTAGACCTAACTACGTACATGAAAACAAATCTAAACAAAATTATAAAGTGTGAAATTTTCTATAAAAAAGATTTAGTTGTTTTTTGTCGTTGAGGCAACCCTCAGAGAAAGGGCATACGGTAACAGTAACATCACAAAGATATTGTCACAAGATCGATACTTTTCCGACCGTTATACCAAGTTGATGGTAATTGGCCGATTAATTTCTCGAAACGGGGACATAATCTGACCAGCCAGGTCGCCTCATTTAGCAGCGCCCGACTTTTTTATGTGGGGATTTAAAAAAAAAACCGTATGTACGATACTAGACCCCGTAATCCTCAAAAGCTCAAACAAAACATTGCAAACAAAATTAAAGAAATTTCACTGGAGATGCTTTGCACAGTGATGGATGATTTTATGCGCCTGCTAGAAGATTAAGAAAAAAATCTTCCAGAGTTATAGATTAAGATGTTGTCTCTGTAATTTTTTTATGTTCAACCAATAAGAACTTATTCCATACCAAAAACCGTCAGTGCATTTTGGACTTCCCTGTATAATTTTTGTAACAGACAAGAACAGTATAATAGATTCTATGGGGCAAAATGATTCAAGGATAATAGCATTTGAAATTTTAGCATATAGTTTCTTATTAATTACACAGGCCTGCATGGTTTTAGGGGTCTACAATTTTTTTACATTTTTAGAGTAAGTAAGTCGTTCTGATCTCTGAAGTATTATTAGTTTTCGTGTATCACGCACTGTTTACTTTAAACATACATAACGACATTATTAGTAATTAATACATATCTTTTTAAAACAAAATTGTTAAGGCCCACTGCCTTTTAATCTAGACGTTTCTAGTTAGAACCAGAATATACACATAGTATTCGAAAAGCACATACAGCAGTCAGTAGTAAGTTAACTGTGGTTGAACGTGTGCTTACAGTATATAATAGCGTGATAAAGTTATTAAAAATTCATCATGTCCTCAAGATATTGTAAAAACAGAGCCGATGTGTTTTGTTACATTTGTGGTTCATATACAGTTAAAAAAAAGACAAAGAAATATTACGGAATTCGTGAAAAGAAGTTATCATGCGTACTTTGGTGTAAAGCTTGGAGACCAAGACAAAACATGGGCGCCACACAGAGCTTGTCATACATGTGTTGAATCGTTACGGAAGTGGACTCAAAATAAAAAGAAATTCTTACATTTCGGCATACCAATGGTGTGGCGGGAACCCAGCAATCATGCAGAAGATTGTTACTTTTGCTTGTGTGACCTAAGTGGCTTTAATACTAAAAATAAGAAAAAAATATTTTATCCGAACCTTCCATCAGCAATAAGGCCAGTAGCGCATGGGCCAGATGTACTTGTACCTGCTGTACCAGAGAATTATACTCTTTTGTCGTCTGATTCTGATTCGCAATTAGAAATTGAAGATTCGGATGAAGACTTTTCATTACAAAGTACTCAGCCTCAGCTTTTTACTCAGAATGAACTAAACGATTTAATTCGTGACTTAGGACTTTCAAAAGAGTCTGCTGAACTTTTGGGATCTAGACTGAGTGAAAAGTATTTACTTCCTCCAGGAACGACATTCTCATGGTATAGAAAACGTGAAACTGAATTTTTAGAATACTTTGATCAAGAGGGATCCCTTGTTTACTGCCATGATGTTCCAGGATCGGTTAGCAAGTTAGGAGCATCCATTTATCAACCAAATGACTGGAGGTTGTTCATAGACTCATCTAAAAGGAGTTTAAAGGGTGTATTGTTTCATAATGGTAATATATATGCATCAGTCCCGGTTGAACACTATGTTCATTTAAAAGAAAGATATGAAGATTGAAACTCCTACTTGAAAAGGTGAAATATGCAAACCACAACTGGATGTTATGTGGAGATTTTAAAATCTTAGGTATGCTCTTAGGCTAACAGTCTGGCTATACTAAAATGCCCTGTTTCTTATGCGAATGGGACAGTAGAGCACGAGTTGAACATTGGCAAAAGAAAGAATGGCCACGTAGAATTAATTTAGTACCTGATTAAAAAAATATTATACAAGAAAGTTTGGTCAACCCGAAAAAAGTTCTTCTGCCTCCGTTACACATTAAGTTGGGGCTAATGAAGCAATTTGTTAAAGCTCTCGACAAAAACTGTAACTGCTTCAAGTATTTATGTTCAAAGTTTCCTAGTTTATCAGAAGCCAAGCTTAAGGAAGGTATTTTTGTTGGGCCACAAATTAGAGAGTTAATGAAAGACAGAGTGTTTGACTCAACAATGAAAGAAAAGGCTGCATGGGTTGGCTTCAAAAATGTAGTTCAAAAGTTCTTAGGTAATAACAGAGATCCTATTTCAAGAATAGAGTCAACGATATGTTAGAAAATTATAAAACATTGGGGTGCAATATGAGTTTGAAATTTCATGTTCTTCATTCCCATTTTGACTATTTTCCAGAAAATCTCGGGGCGGTGAGTGATGAACAAGGTGAAAGGTTTCACCAGGACATTAAACAGATGAAGATGAGATATCAAGGAAGATGGAACGTCGCCATGATGGCTGACTATTGTTGGTGTTTAAAGAGAGAATCTTCTGAAGGTGAAACTTCACATAAACGGGCTTCAACTAATCGTTCATTTGAAAGTAAAAGAAAGCGTTTTCATTCGCAAAGAGACATGTAAAAATGTTAACAACTTTTTTGTAATATTATTTTCTTCTAGGTACTTGTAAATTTTGATTTAAATTTTGTAATTAAAAAATGAGAAGTATTTTACTGTAATGCATTATTTTAATACATTTTATTAGAAAACCGTTCATGTATTTTTACTTTGTGAAAAAACCTTGCGTGATAGAGCAAAATGCAAGTCATTTTTGGATTCGGCATGAAACAGTCATACAGAATTACATTAAAATATAGAAACCCCCCACCATAAGTTGTATTTTGCAGGCCTGTGTATTTTACGAAAGAATGATTACTTTACATAATTCTGAAGGAATTGTCATATTACATTTCTCCTATTGCGATTAAAATAAGTAAACTGGAACTCGAACAACTTTAATAAATATTTATT